CCTGCTAAGGGATGAGAAAGGAGCCATGCTCCTGTGCATCAGCTGCCTCTGTGTGTCTTGAAGTGTTGACCCGTTATGTGGCCCAAGCTGTATGGTTCCTTTCCATTATACCTTTGCGTCCTTTGTCTTTGCATCTGGTCATTTTTATTTAAGAAATGGAGTAACCCTTTTGAATGAAATCTGTGATCAGGAACTCATTCCGTCTCAGCAGTGCTTGCTACATGGGTGAAGTGGCTGTCACTAAAACTAATGTATTGTTAAGCTATAAGTGATTTTATGAAGTTTATTTGCTTTTAGAGATTCTTCAGAATTATTAACATAATACACTGCTAAAAAGAGTATGAGAAAACATTACTTAGTAACTGAAGAATCTGGTTCTTTTGTTGTATTAGTAGGCCCTTCAAACACAATTCTCTTTTTGTGTTAGTGTTCTAATTATACTTAAGGTGTTCTATTTAAACCCCCATAACAATTGTTGATCTGAAGTTAAGAAGAAAAATATGAGAGGGAGACATCCAGAAACACAGCAAAGTCTCCACACAGAAAAACGGAGCTACCTGTAATCAGAGAAAGAATTTTGCATCCAAGCCTGCCAAGACAGTGGCCTTTGCGTTAATTTTGAAGACCAGTAGACTTTGAGGGGAAAGCACCTGAAATCAGATCCCTTCTGTTTAGATGGACCACATCTCCAATTGCATGCCTTCTGTAGCAGAATGCGTGAGGGAGGCTTAGTCACGCAAACGAGGCTGTGTAATGGTTAAGGTAAATAATTCACTATCCTGTGTGTTGGAAGAAGAAGGCATTCTCACACTGTCCTTTGTCATTACACACTTAAAGGCATCCTAAGCCTTTACAACAGATAAACTTGAATGTTCCCTTTCCTTCAAAGCTAAACTCTTTTTGCTCTAGGATTCTGGGAGATGGCAGATAGTATCTTGCTTAACAAAGGTCATAGTTCTCTGTGTGGCAGCCCTGTATATCACGAAGATATATCTATAGACATCTGTGAAGTATTAAATGTCTCTTTGTTTATTCCTATCAGGCGTTTGAATGACAATGATATATCTGTTTTGGAAGCTATCGGACTCTTCAAGAAATTGCCCAATCTCAGAAAAATGTAAGTTTGAGTCACTTGCTTTTAGAATAAATGCTGCCTTGGATTATAAGGAAGGAGGAAGGGATGATTTTTTTTATAGTTTAGTACTGCCTAAGCAGAAATCACTTTTTGAATGGGAACTTAAGTAAACTGAATGATGTTTAGAATCGCCTGTTAGGTGGACAAGCCCAATTAAACCACAGTGACAGATGCAGATCGCTAGACTGACATTTCAATATTCTTTAGGATATGTTTCTTAAAGTCTTCAGCTCATGGAGACTGAAGGGAATTCTGTCCCAGAATTTATTCAGATATATGCTTATTGTTAGAGATAGCTACAAAGTTTAGTATTTTGGTTTTGTCTTCTGAATGTATTGTGCAGCTCCAACTAGTGTCATTATTTCAAATAGTCAAAGGAAAATAATATTACAAGATATAGAAGACGACAGCTTCTTTTGATCGTTATTGTTTTAGAGAGGAGAATCAATTAGCTAATTTAGAGATCAGTCATTCAACTATATCTGTATAATTCTGTTAACAGCCTGAGTCCTGGCACTGTACAGTGTATATATTTAATAAGAGCTGTGTTTTGAAAAGAGAATAATGTGTTAGATACCTCCTGACAGTCTTTTAAATGGATCTTTCTGAAGTTCAAATTTTAACCCTGTGGCCCCATTGCTAATGTCTCATCTAACTGTTCACTTTCAGTAAGATTTTCTTGCTAGAGTCAAGGTAATTCAGGGAAACCACCAACCAGATTTATTGTTCTGCATTCATTTCACGTGGCTTCTGCCATCTGGAGCTTCCTAGCCATTTGAATCCATGCAAGATCTCAGGGGCTTTGGAGACAACTGTAGTGGGATTCTATGTCAGTTTTATTTCTGCAAGAGTTTCAGCTGCAGCCCTGCACTAAGGAGTGGGGATTGTGTTTGTGCCAGTTACAGGCCACCAGACTTGAGGAATTAATCATATACATTAGCCTCATATTTTATGAATGATCCATACGTTGGAGCTACAGTGTACTTAGAAAAACTTGACATTGTTGAAGTGCTCTGTTGTCTGTGTAAGTAGATAGTAAATGGGAGTGAAAGACGCACAGTATATAAAGTACACACAAAAGTACACACAAACTGGAAAGCATCTGTCCTCATCAGACCTTCAGGATTTATGTTTTGAAAATTGGAGAGGTGTGATAGCTGGAATAATTTCTTTCATTTTGTTTACAACTTACTGTAGGCAAGTTATGGTGCTGTCCTTCCTGTTCCCATCAATCACTCAGGTGGGAGGGATGCCTCGGCAGGGCTGTGTTGTAATGCATAAATGCAGCATGAAACAGTTATGAGGGGTTTTTTAAGAGTTTCTTTGCTGTGAAACAAAAAGTCTTCCTGCTGTGTTGTTGGTAGGTGATGAGAACTGAGGTGTACAGGTGCAGTTCAAATGGATGGCAAAAAGAAGTTGTGCCCTACACCTCCTAAAAAGTGTCTGTCATACAGATTGTTAGTGGCAGCCTCCAAGCAGAGGCTCTTTATGTAATCTTTGTGGTTGAGCTAATTTATTTTGTTCTACCTGATGTTGTAAAGAAGTATCTTGATTTGAATAAAGGGATTTTCTGAAAAGGGTGTTTTTTCGTATAGGCAGAGCAACATTTCAACCATAAACTTACTCAGTAGTTTGATCCTTAAAAAGCCAGATTAGACTTCTTTTTTTCTGATTCTCCTAGTTCCACTTTGTGAAGGGAAGGGGTTACTAGGAAAAAGCAAACAACCAAACAAATGCCTCTTTCCTTCTGAGTTGTTATTTGGCCTTTATTAAGTACCCTTCTGCTAGTAATAGGC